TGAACACAAGAAATGATCTTACACCATTTGGTAAATTCGTAGAATTATGATGTTTTCAATTAGGCAGGCTCGCGTCACGGATAAGGTTCTCTAAAAAAATCCAGGCCAGAGATGTACAAATCACCACCAGAGTAACCTGAATAACAGTATGTTATAATTCGCGGAATGGTATTTCGCTGAGAGCATCATTTGTGAAGGGACAACACACATCGGCACTTTTTAGGAGAACCCAAGAAAAAGGTGAAGACTTAGAAGATTATGAATAATAACCTAAAGTTTGGGTCATACTGAGACTGACTAAGATCTAGCAGGATTCTGAGTTGGACATAACATGTGGAGAAGGCGAGAATCAAGTTGAGAACACTTCCGCATCACGTAATTGGCAAAATGTTGATTACAGCCCTACTGGAGAAGTCAAATTCTGATTGGCTCTACCTCTAAGCAATCTCAAGAAAAAGGTAGAGGCATAATTCATTTGAAAGACACTGATGTATTTGTGCATTAAAGTTAGAAACTCATTTAAAGAAAGTTCGTGAAAAGGTGAGAATGCGAGTAATATTGGCACCCAATTATCATAGTATAGGCCATCTCCGCTCACAAAGGAGTTCGATTGGGCTGTTCTATGAACAGTAAAGGGCAGGTAAGGGAAATGATTTGAAAAAAAAAACGCTTTGATGTTTTTCGTTCTTCTCACATATCCCGTTTACACAGGGACTGCAATTTGAGTAAAACCTTCTACTTTATCTGCTAAGGTATAGCGTTCATCTATTCCAAGACTTCTCATTTCCGATTTGATCTTGTCCATCCATCGCATTTTTATCCCTCATGTTCTTCTACCCAACACTTCCACTGACAGAGCCATTCTTAGTATGCGGTTCGCTTCGCTCTTACTCATATGCCCATATCAGCGCAAACTCTCCTGTTTCTGGACAATTGGAGCAAATTTCATTTGCGATCTAACCATTCGTTTCACATGTGTTACTTCATTATAAGACCTAGAATTCTTTGCAGCATCCTGGTTTCCATAACACCAAGCTTGTCCTTTTGCTTTCGCGTACTCGGCCAACATTCACTGCTGGACGGAGTAGGATAGATCTCTGTTTTAAGATGTAACGGCATTTGTTTGTCACAGAACACCTGTGCTCCACTTCGCTAGGCTACATTTGTGCTAGCCGAATTCGTCTTCAATTCCTACTTCAACGGATAGGTAGCTTTCCAAGTACTTGAATGACTTCGTTTTCTTTGTCGGCTCATGATGCATACTGATGAATATGGCTCGGGGATTTTGACTCCACCTCTATTAGTCTTCTTCGTGTTGAGCTTCTGACTTGCAGTTCCAGTTGGCTTTTCCCCTCTGCACCTTCTGTAATCTCCTTCCTATTCTTTGCCATCAAAACAGGTCATCCGCATAGAGAAGAGGCGCTGGCGGTTGTTTTCAAAGCCTTTCATCACTGCGTCCAATGACAAAGGAGAGAGCACTGAGTCTTGATGGACTCCAATCTTAAAGTGAAGCATTTTTAAACGGCCGGCTGTTTGTACATGACTGGTAACTTTATAATAGATTATCTTACTTCGCTCGATATATCCGTGCGAGACCATATGTTCCGCAATGCCCACCGTATAACGTTACAAATAACTTTGCCGAATGCTTTTTCCAGGAAAGCTGCATGTAATCTTTTATTTTTCTTCTACATTTCCATACTATCTGAACAATGTGGATGGCGTCAGTACTACTAAAATCTTTACAAAGCCGCTGACTTGGTAACAACTCTATAATCCCTCAGAGTAGTATCTCAAGTATTCTTTTAAAGATCCTCAGACTGTGACTCATCAGCCGGATTGATCGATACGTTGCACAGTCTTCTTCACCCTCGTTCCTCCATGTTGAGATCGTTGTGTGGTAGACTAATCTTTTCTTGGCTTTGATAACCTGACTGAGGAAACTCGAGAGCCAAGAAGCGGCACGCTGTCCATACTCCTTTCAGTACTCGTTGGGGATACACCAAAATCGTAGAATTGCCGTTCTTATCTTGGTCATTGCAACGCAGACTTCTTCCTCTGGGATGGACTGCTCCTTCTACACGATTACCTAGGACGATGATTTTAATAGTGGACTCTGGAGATGCTATCTCTTCAAAGTATGTCCTCATCTTTCCACGATGTCCTGCGTCTTCTCAGAGTTCTCAAGCTTGTCTTTGATTTTAGAAGTACGTCATATCTTTCGCGAATTGTTCTCTACTTCT